TATTTTTCAAAGTATATATATTCTCTTTGCAATTGGCGCAATTTAAAGATTTCACATCTTTTTTTGAAATACGTATCACTTAGGTTGAATTAGGTAACGCAATTTTGTGAATTATTTTGTTAGGGAGAAAAATATAAAGCTACTATACATATCATTTGGGTTAAGTTAGGTAACGCAATTTTGTGAATTATTTTGTTAGAAAAAAATAAAGCTACTACCATTTAAGATTTTTAGATTTACAACATACATTGCGCGTGTACTTGGCGCCTTTTTTTACCTTTCTTTGAAAAAGGTAATTTTGTACTGTCACATTGACATCAATCAATGTAAAGAATAAAGTAGCAGTATTTTTCTAAATAAAAAGAAATTATTTTAAATTTTCAGGTTTTTATTTCGCTTTACAGAGTTATAAATATTATTCTTAGAATCTATTAATGCAACACCATAACATCTCATTATATTCTTCTATTAATTAAATGGTCTCTGAGAGTTCGAGCTTGCTCAGTTTAAATATGCGTTTTTTTCGATTGTTAGTTTTATAATTTACATGATTTGTATTACAACCTGTAAGAGTGAATTGCGAGTTCCTGATTGAAAAACATATTTGTTCTTTATAAATAAATCTTTATTATTTAGTTATACATATACATATATGTATAACTATGTATCATACAAATATACAAAATAAATGAAATGGACTATACGACTGTTGCGAAGATTATTTTCATATGACACATAAATAATAAATAAATAATAAAATATTTACTATATGTTTTTTCTGCTGTTGTCCCATACGATGTCTCGCTGGTTTCCTTTTGTTTTCATGTTCCTTTGTTGTGTTGCGTTTTATAAATTGTTTTGTGATTACTCGTTTATGATTACATATATCTTAATTTCATAAAGAGATTTGATGTACCTATGTATACTTTTCATAATATTTTTATGCTGTTGAAATTAATTTAGATCCAATCTCTCGCGCATGTGCGATTAAATATGGTGTGAACGGAATATTTTGTTATTAAAGAAAGTAAATATAAAAAAGGAGCTTTAGTTTTCGCTATTCTGCACTTACAAATATGTATGTAAGCTTTATTATTATTTTTGTTATTCTTATTATTCATTAATCAGATTATATCTTGCTTCTACTTTTCTTCAAATGTTATTAATTGATGTTTACTGGGTATAACGTACTTTATATTAATCTTTACTATACTAGTCTTATTTTCACTAACGCTTACATTTCCTGTCACAACATGTACACACAATTTACAAATCACAAAACACAAAAAGATAATTGTTCACATTTACAAGATTTACAAAATACTTGTATCACTTGTACCACTAAAACGAACAATCATCATACTGTCAAATTTGCCGCTAAATATAATAACGTCGTCGACCACTAAACACGCGGAAAAAAGCAATGCGCCAATGAGCACCTATCTCACTCGCTTTTTTACTCTCCCGCTCGCTCTCCTGATTCATGCATACAACGCGCGCTATCTCGCTCGCACTCTCAATTCACTCTCTCATTCTTGCACTATCTCTCTCAATGCATCTTTTTCTTATAATTTAAAATGACGCTGGGTACTAAGGTCTTAAAGTCTATCACTTGCAATATGTCAACAACAACATTTTAAACTCTTAAACGGATTATTAATTCATATAGATCTTTAATCTTTAACTTCCCATTAAACAAGGAATCCACCTCTAAACGAGGTATATGCGAGATCAAGGCCAGGCCGGAATCGAATCACGGAGCTTAAATTTGAATTACTAATCAGTAATCACTCTGCACGGAACCACGCGTCATCACTCTCAATCCATCTCAATCCATCAGCGTGGCTTGATACCGCACTCTAGCTCTCAGAAATTGCAACTGTACAAGAAAATCTTATAAAGTTTATTAGGACATACTAAAAATTCTCCTGCTCGCGTAAATATACACCGTAGTGTCTCGAGCTGCATGTGTACTTGGCGCGAGACACTACCGTGTCTTTTGATATTTCTATGTATGAGCGTCCAGATTTTAGACTCTAGAGCTCTAGACTCTTGACTCTAGCATTCTCGGCGGTTGGAGAGATGGTGATGCAATCACCACAATTTATACAATATCAAAACAATTTTTTTTATCATAAAATGTATTATATTATATACTGTTTGTGCTGACATTGCAGCACTAAGAAAAGTAATCGCAAAAATTTGAAGAAGTTTTCAGGTCGTTGTATAATAAATAGATGCGGAACATTTATCATTCCATATTAACCTCTTCATTCATTGTAATATCATGCAAATCATATGCAACATTTGTAATGGTTCTAACCATTTCGATAACCCTTGTATTGATGATATTATTAATATTGCTTATATAAGCAATTTTTTTTTTAAATTTTTATAAAAAGCTTATTAATAATAATTATCGAAGACTGTTCAAGTCATTCAAATGATTAAACAAAACATCACAAAAGCGAACGAATAATCAATAGGTCAATACCAGAACTGATCAGTTACTCGCAAGCGTTTAATATAAGAACTTCAATTTATTGTGACACACTTTATAGTAACAATAAATTTTTACTAAATTTAAATGTTTGTTGTGCACATGCACATTCTTTAATAAAATAAATAATACATTATATCTCTTTAAAATTTGTTAGTGGTAGAGTATTAATAAAGTATTTAAACACGCTTTTTACTTACCAAACGTAATTAAGATATAAAGACCGTAAATACATATTTAGTAACTTGTGTAATTTAAAAACTAAAAGAAGATATCAACACATAAAAAGAAAGCATAGTGCCACAACAGAGTGTTCCTTAGTAACCTTTATTTAAAATAATACTTTAACAAACGTTTCGGTCTGTTATTAAATCATCTTTAGTGTAATAAGTGAAGATAATACATAAAGTCTAGTAAACAAATAGATAAAAATAAAAACCGCAATACATTACATTAATCGCATTAGTTTTTACAACAATATAAAATTCGCATCGAACGCACACATCCTATTTCTTCAAAGTATAAAAGTCGAGAATTAAACTGAAATAAATAACGGACACAAATAACAACATGTTACATGTCAATGACATTATATCCAACTAATAACAATATTATAAGTGATAATTTTACAATATGACTCTTTTTACATAGAACACCATAATCACCTCATCACGATACTTAATGTACATATTCAGAAAATATTTTTCTTACTCGTTTATTTCGATGACATGTTATTAAGTATTTGTGAATCCGTAATTCATTTCAATTTACTCCTCGACTTTTATATTATACATTGAAGAAATAGGATGAGCGTTCAATTCGAATTTTATATAGCGATAAGAACTAATGCGATTAATGCGTTTATTGTGATTTAAAATTCTTATTTTTTTATTTACCGGTCTTTGTGTTATCCTAACTTATCACATTAAAGATGGTCTGATAATAGACTAAATATTCGACAAAATATTATTTTAGTTAAAAGTTTACGGCACTCACACGCTGTTGTGGCTTTATCCCCTTCTTTTTATGTGTTGATGATTTCTAATCAATTGAATTTTTAGACAATAAAAGAAGACAGCAGAAGGGAACAAAACTTGCTTAAACTGGTTAATTATTTCGTCGGCCGATAATGATCACTATTATATTGCTATTACTTATCCTTATTCTACTGATATCTAATTATTATGTGCATTATTATGGACAAAAAGGCCGACTTATCAATCTTATACCAGGACCATCGGGTTATCCGATTGTTGGAAATGCATTTCAATATCTTGTTTCACGAGGTAAGTTACATACAATATTCATATATAACTTTACATACATAACTTTACATACAATATTCTCGTAAATAAATATTCACTTGTGCCCATAAATTTTTAAATATGATATTTGCAAACATTTTTCTGAGATATATAATTCTCGATATTATTGCACGTGTTAACTACTTTTAAGAATTATTAAGCTTATAGGTAAATATTTTCAAGCATTAAACATTCATTTTCTGATTATTGAAGTTATTTGAGGAACAATGAATTATCTAGGTACATTAAATATAACGATAAAGTCAATCATACATATTTTGATCAATATCTATATATATATAAGTACCGTCTTCTGTCTGTATGTACGCGAACTACTCATTCGTTAGTGGACCAAATTTTTACCGAAAGTATATGAAATAGGAGTAGAATTTTCTGGGGATAAAAATGTCGCGGCTTTTTTTTGTTTTACCCCCCCCCCTCCCACCTACGCACGCAACATACGCACCTACGCGCACCTACTCATTTGTTAGTGGACCGAATTTTTACCAAAAGTATATGAAGTAGGGGTAGAATTTCCTGGGGAGTGCCATAAAGTGTATAGTTTTTTGCTACCGATTTTCTGGAAACCAGTTTTTTTTAATTCTTCCAATTTTTCCGGAAATAATTGACCGAATTTCAAAGAATTGTATATGAAACAGGAGTAGAATTTTCCGGAGAATGCTATAAAGTGTATAATTTTTCGTTACCGATTTTCTAAAAACCGGTTTTTCTAATTTTTCCAATTTCTCGCGAATTAATTGACCGAATCTCAAAGAATTGTATATGAAAC